ATTACAATCCTTCATATTCATTCTTTCGAGAAGTTTACTGATAGCTGCCTTTTGATTAATGCTGATGTATCCTGGTTTATCCTGGTTTATTTCAACCCCTAATATGTGATGAGCTTTGCCTTTATCTACTAAGTCTAAACGAGTAGATAATTCTCCCTTAATGAATTTTAAGTAATTAATATCATCAGATGAAATCAGCAAATCATCAACATAAACTGCTAGGATACATCTTCGATTTCCATCAGAAATTGTGTAAAGACAAGGATCACTTTTCATCCTTTTATAGCCAATATCAATTAAAACTTCATTCAGTTTGATATTCCATTGTCGGCCACTTTGCTTCAATCCATAAATCGACTTTTTCAATTTACAAACTAATCGCTTATCTTTATCAGAGAAGTATCCTTCAGGTTGTTGTAAATAAATATCTTCATCCAAATCTCCATTAAGATAAGCAGTGGTCACATCCATTTGATGTAAATGAAAATTGTATTTGGCACAAAGAGCGAAAAGTATCCGTAGTGATGAGGTTTTGACAACTGGAGCATAAGTTTCGTTATAATCAACACCAAATTTCTGACTAAATCCTTTGGCAACGAACCTTGCTTTGAATCGATCAATTGTTCCATCAGGTTTGTATTTAACCACAAATACCCAACGAGACCCGGTAGCTTTACGATCTTTAGGTATTGGAACAAGATCCCAAGTATCATTACTGATTAGTGAATCGTATTCTTCATCCATGGCTCGTTTCCACTCGTTTTTCCATTTACCAGATAATGCCTCGGAAACACTTCGAGGAATAGGGACTACTTCAGGTTGGACGGACATATGGCCAAGAGTGTTGAAGATTTTTCTCGGTCGACCTGGTTTACCAGTTCTTTCAAATTTGGGTCTTCCTCTTGCTTTAGTTTTAGGCAAATCTATGGATACGTCTGGGTTAGTTTGATTGGTTTCACTTTCAGCTTCTTCATAATTGTTTAGACTAGAATCTTGATTACTATTGTTCATTGATTCAAGCTCAGAAGTATCCGTTACCAATTGGTCATTATTCTGGATACATTCATCCTCAGCTGGATTATCAAATGAAAAAGATTCATTACTAGCAAGTGCGACTGTTGATTCATGGACATTTTGAGGCTCAATAAATCTAACATCACGACTCTTAGTTGTTGTTCTCTTAGATGGATCATACAATTTGTATGCTTTTGAATCTTCGCAATATCCTATGGATATCATCTCGATAGCCTTCTCTTGAAATTTGTCCAAACAATTTGATTTATTCAACACATAAGCTTGACTTCCGAATATCCTCAAATGAGATATTGATGGCTTTTTCCCATACCAGGATTCAAATGGCGTTTTATTAGCAACTGCTTTAGTACAGCATCTGTTTCTTATGTAAGCTGCAGTTGAAATAGCTTCAGCCCAGAAATTTGATTTCAGATCAGCATCAGACATCATTGACCTCGCCATTTCCACCAAAGTTCTGTTAAACCTTTCAGCGATTCCATTTTGCTGAGGAGTATTGGGAGCAGATGTTTGATGGATAATGCCATGTGATTTAAGATGAGCTTGAAAAGCTCCATTTGTATATTCAGTGCCATTATCTGAACGTAAAATCCGGATACGTCTACCTAAATTGTTCTCAACCCTAGCTTGGAAGTCTTTAAAACACTGTAAAGTTTGTGTTTTATACTTCATCATGTATACATGAATGTATCTTGAATGATCATCGATAAAAGTGACGAAGTATCTGCTTCCACCTAATGATGGTGTACGCATTGGACCACAAACGTCTGAATGTATGACATCCAATAGATTATCAGCATGACTTGATGACCTAGCAAAGGGTAAACTACTTGATTTACATTTAAGGCAGGTTGAACATCGGATACTTGCGGATACGTCAGCTTTTAAATCAGTAACCATTGAATTATTTTTCATAAATTTGATTGTATCAATATTAACATGTCCTAGGCGACGATGAATCAACGAAAGATCAAGTTGTTCTTTAATATTGTTCAGCTTTGCTTTTGGTCTTGATACACCAATGAACAAATCATTCTCCATCCTGAACTCAAGTATTATTGAACCATTAATATCATAGATCTTTCCTTTGTCTCCAAAAAAATCAACACCATAACCTTGTTTGATGACCTTTGATACAGACAAGTAGTTACAAGTTACCGAAGGAACATAGAAAACGTTTTGTAGTCTGAATTGTCTTCCATTAATAGACGTATCCAATGTACCAACACAATCAACAGGGCACTTTACCTCATTCGGTAATTCAACTTCGCCTAATTTAGGCTTGGATACATCTGTTAAATCATCACTATAACAGACAATATGAGATGTTGCACCACTATCAAGTATCCAAATATCCTTATCACGATACTTTTCACCAAGAGAAAGTAATTTAGGTTTATCGTTGGATTTGGAATGATGTGGATTAATGGTCTTGGATTTAGGACAGGCATTTGATTTGTGTCCTTCCTCTTTGCACTTGTAGCAAAAAATTTTCCTCCTACGACCACGTTTATTTCCATCTCCTTTTACCAGTAAAAGCTTGGACGTATCCCCAGGACCAGAAAGATGAGCACGTCTTTCTTCCTCTTCGATTAACTTGGTCTTCAATATGGTCAGGTTAGGTATCTCATCTCTTGATGTAATAGCGACCACAAGGTTTTCATAAGCCTCTTCAAAACTGACTAACAGCATCACCGAATAAGCATCATCAGGTAATTCGAATTTCTGGTTGTCAAGTTGATCCTTTAGGTTCATGAAGGCTTCGATGTGTTCAGTCATACTTTGACCTGGAAGTATCCTCATTGTAACAAGTTTACGGAACAAATTCACCTTTTGAGCTGGACCACTTGGCTCGTGATGTATCCGTAAAGCTTCCCAAGCCAGCTTAGCTGTGATACAGCTCTTAATTAACCGGTACTTTGAAGGTTGCAAGCATAGGGTAATTTGGGCTAAAGCTTTTCGATCACGACGTTCCCAATCTGTAGCTTCTTTCTCTGGTTTATTAGTTTCAACCACATCCCATAGATCATTGTTGATCAACAAACTCTTCATGGATACTCTCCAGGATTCATAATTAGTATCACTGAGTTTTTCGATGGATGAAAACTGAGAAGACATAACAGTAAGAAAAAGGTGGGATACTTCTCAAATTTGAGACACTAAATTAAAAGAGGGTAACCACGCTCTGCTACCATGAGAGGCGTGTTAACAAAATGAAATGGTTTATTTTAATTTAGTGAACATAAGATGTTAGTAAAAAACAATGTTGATGTAAGATTGGTTGATGACTGAAAATAATAACTGATGATGATTGTCAGTGGACAACTGGTTTAAATACTATTGACAAGCCTAACGGCTTAATTCAAAATATGTAGTGTAGTGTGCAAAAAGATTAACGTTGGTTCAAGGGTAAATAGGTGAAGGGTTGTGTAATTTAGATGGATACGTCTCACATGATTGTTATTATCAATGAATCTATTTAATAAATCAATGACAAGAGACACACAAAAAATGGTCTTCTTGAAATCTATTTTTACAATTAGCTGAAATTAAATAGCTGATTGTTGTTAAACAGATTGGTTTATATGGATATTTTGATTCGTCTGTTGTTCAACTATTAGTATAATTTTATCATTCAATTACAAATGGATTGACATTTATAAAGTAATTGATTTTAACAGAAGCTAATCATCCTGATAATGTTAATAAAAGGTGAAGCTTCTCTCATCAATCGTTTAATCAATCAAGCCTAAAATGAGGCTTCATTTTTAATGTATTTGCTCATTTATTTGTTCAATAACAATTTATAGTTGATCATTACTTGTTATTATTATCATTAAAACCAGTGATCTTCAAATAATAATGATGAATGATGGTTAAAAATCATTGACAAACTAGACAAAGTGAATCCATTAGGTTTGAAACAGTCAACATGAAAAAACGGAAAATTTTAGATACAATAACCAGGTGAATGCAAATTGTGACTCAAATAGTTAACTATAATCAACTAAGAATTGCAAATTGCAACAATTTACATTGTTACGCCAAACAGGTAAATGATGTAATGATGGCGACTCAAAGTAACCAGGTAAAGATAAGAGTTGAAAGCGTAGGAAACCAGATAAGTCACAAATCTGGTGTGAAATCAATTGGATTGTCAATGTTTAATCAAAACCAAAATGAAGATGAAAAAGGTTTAACTTGAAGTTAACTTTTCAACAAAAAGTGTTTTACCTTTTTCAGCTTTTTGGGTGTGTAAATGTCATCAATGTTGGTTAAAAATTTGGATGAATCAAGACTTTCATTTATATTAACAGTTTAAAATGCTATCAATAATCATATTCATCTTGTTGTGCGTGTTGAATGACAAACACGAAATGTTAACCTAACATGGTTTGTTCATAAGCTGTACCAGTCAATATAAAGATGTAATGTTAAATTGTTGTTGACAGTTTTAAATTTAATAGCAGCTTTAAAATAGTTAAACACTGTTAGACTAATGAGACTAATTAGTTATCAATATGATCAAAACAATTAGATTTTTAAGAGGCAATCACCGATTTAGACTTGAGTCAAATGTGAGATTCAATTTTGTGTGTTTTTGACAATATTGAGTCAATGACTTGAACTAATCAATATAAAGTCATCACTTTTTCATGACTATTAAATTGTTTGGTAAATTGATTCAAATACTAGATAAAATTTGATGGATGTGTTGAAAAATATTGCAAAAAGGTAATTATTTTCACTGAAAAATAGTTGATTTAGAAACCATTTTAAGGTAAATAATGAACTTTATTTAATGTATCATCATTTGATTGATAGTTGCCAATCAAACGATTGATTAATCATCATTAAATGTTCATCATTTGCTAAGGCAAGGCTAAATTAACTCATCATTACAATATGAAAAGGTTAATGAAAAGATTGAAAAATAAAAGTTGATTATAATTAAATGTAAATCTTACCTTTGGACAGTTGAAGATTTTTATTCTTAACAATACGAATTATGTCGCCTTTTCTGAAGGATAAGATTGATGGTTCATGAGATGAATAATCAACAATTGCTTGTACATAATCCGCTCCACTCTGTTAATACAGAAGACAAGGTTAAACAAGATTAACACACAATTAAAAATAGATGAACAATTAAGTTAATAATGGAAACAGGCACGCAAAAGAGTAAAGAGTTTGATGGTTTGTACTGTCAAATCTGTGTTTGTTGGTTAATCACAATTGATTGGTTGTAAACAAAATGTATACTAAATATTGTTAATCCAAGATGTTAGTAAAAGAGGGAAAAATCAAAGGATAACTTTTGATGAAAACCACATAAATACAGACTTATGAACAGTACAACAACAAAAAACATCAAATCATGATCCGGGATTCACAGGATGACACGGTTCAACAAATGATTACCTTGTTGGCTTCATCAGTAAAGGTATCAATCATGGTTTTTATTTGGTTTGCCTGTAAAAAAGTAGTGAAAGAAGAGAGAGAAAGAAAAGTTAGATGATGAAGACAACAGAGAAAAAGTGATGTTTAAAGTAATAATAACACAATATACATGAGATTCAGTTTGAAGTTTGAGCCTTTTTTTTCAAGCTACTTTCTTGGTCGAGCTAACAAGTTGTTCAGCGTCGACGAGCTTAGAGGAGGCGAAAGAAAGAGAAAAAGAAAGATAGAGAGAAAGAGATGAAAGAAAACAAATTTAGACCAACCTTGTGAGTGTAAAGAGTTAACCATCCACCGTTGAGGAGGAGCAATTGAAATGTACTGCTGCCAACAACGTTTGCTTCCGCAATCTCATCGAAACTGAGGTGATGGTGATGATGAAAGAGTAGAGAGAGATTTAAAGAAGGAGGAGGAGAGGGTGTAAAGAGGAGGTAAAAGATAAAAAGGTAACAATTGAGTGACAATTTGGATTTGATTTTTTTTGTCTTGTTGAGGTGGCCGCTTGGCTCATTATTTTCAGTATCATATCATCTTTATTAGTTGTTGTTGTTACTTGGTTACACTTACCTAAGCATATCCAGTATTCGTAAATAATCACAAATAGCATCTCTCTCTCTTTTAATTAACTTGATACCCGAATGAGATACTCCTAACAGTTCAACATCGGGTAAATTGGATCCACCAGAGACGGGAAACAATCGTGTAAAATAGGTTGGCAAGTCTTTGGCAAATTCAATGATGTTCCGTTGAACCGGCAATTTGTGATTAGATGAGTTCATATTGTCTAAATTTATTTTGTAATTTTCCAATTGCATTTGTAACTTTTGTTTATCCTCACGAGTTAATCGTATACAACTTTTGGAATATGCATCTCGAACAATTTGACAAAAGATTAAATGAAGTTTCAATGGGCTATCAATTTTTTCCATTGGTGAGAAAACCTAAAGAAAAAAGAAAAGAAAATTAGAATCATTCAGAAAAAAATAAAGCATCTAAATAAATTTTTGGTTATTTAGGGTTAGATGATTATGAAGTTATTTACCTCTTTTCTTAGACGCAACTCCCAAGGACCTTTTGAATAAGTTAATGAATAATTGTGAGCTGCCGGAGCTAATTTAGTCTTGATTGAATCAACTGATTTTTGCTCTCGTCGGTTAACTGGTATTGGCACTGGTGTATCAACTGGTTTCAAAAATTCAGAGTTCTCGATAAACTCGAATCTATCTGAAGCTTTGAAATTCATGGCCGGTGGCGGTGGGGGAGGCTGATCTTTTCGTCTCATCATTACTGGTGTACTGGGACCATAATAACTAGATGATGCAGCAACCGATGGTGGTCCTGGAGGTGCACGGAAACCATGACCTGGAGAGTGACGAGGGTGAATAACTGAGTGATCATTGTCAACTAAACCATTGGACATGTTGAGAGCTTCACTGAGTTCTAGGTTGGAAGAGGGTGGAGGTGGCGGTGGAACAGACATTCGTTTAATTGGTCGAGTAACATCAGCTCTGGAATTTGATTTAGTATGGCTTACAGAGCTTATTACACTGTCTTCATATTGAATGCTGCTTCGAGATGACATTTGATCGATAAAAGTTCCTCCCATTGAGGTTGACAAATGATCACCATCACATTCAGCAGCCACCGTTGATGTCAAGGTTCCACCTCGATTGTGTGGGCCTAGCTCATCACGACGTTCCCTTGACTCACGAGATCCACTGCGTCGAGCAGCAGAAAACCTTTCCTTGAATTTGGATAGGTTTTCACCAGAATCACCTCGATCAAGTCGTCCATGAGAATGAGAATGAGTTAGATGAGGGTGATGATTAGATGAATTATTACCACTACTAGAGACTACTTTGGTAATCAATTGGGATGATGAATTTGAACTTGATCCAATGGGTTTATCATTTGATTTAGATCGAGATAATTGGCTTTTTGTATCACTAAGAATTAACATTGATCCCATTAATTGTTTTTCCAGTAAATTTTTCCTATGCTCAGACAGCTTTTTAACTCCTCCACTTAAACCATCACCAACACCACCACCACGAATATCCTCCATGGATCGAGCAAGTTTTTCCCGTCCACCATCCTTCTTTGAACGAACAGTTTGATCAATTGTTAACTGTTCCAATTTAGCCTTCATCTCTGAGCTTATCCTCAACTTTCCAATTGATCCTTTACTTGTTCCCTTTGAACCGTCAATTATCAAACCATTGACATCAGTTTTCGAGGCTTTATCACTTTTCTTATAACGCTTTTGTCCTCCTTTCGGTGACCCAGGACCCGGTCCAGATGCTACATTCATAGCATTAGTATTAAGCGGTACGATTACTTCTTGTTCAATAATCATTGAGCATTCTTCATTTTTATCACAGTCACTTGTTTCCTTGTGTTTTTCTTGCTGCTTTTTTAATTTAAATTCAAAAAAACTTGCTGCTCCTTCGGTAACACCATTATCTCGAGGAGGAGGCCAACGCCATTTACCAATGCGAACAGTTTTGGCTCTTCCATACACGTTGGTAAAACTGGGTGACAATGGTGGTGGTGGCGGTGGCGGCGGTGGAGGTGGCGGTGGTATACCAGTTCCAGATATATAATGTGATGCAGGTAATGGCGATTGTTTAACTGGCGAAACACCCTGTGAAAAACACATTGAAAGAAGCAAGGATTTAAAAACGAGAAAAATAACGAGTTTTTAACACAACCATTTTGATAAATGAAATATCAAGAAAAAGCAACCAAGACAAACTTGATTGTACTGCTGATTACATTGTTGAATTCAAGATGATTTTTTAATATAAATTAAATCTGTAAGATATTTTACTATCATTTTAACACCAATCAAAACGTGTAAACGAGAAATAGATTGATAACTGATTAAAAAGAAACTGATTACGCCAAAAATGCTAAAAAATACAGTACTGGTTAATGTTGGGAAAATAATGGGTAAGCTTGATCAAGTATAAAAGTTACAAGATGACCTTTATTTTTCTCGATAACCAGACCAGACAGAGGGGTAATGAGTGGAGGGTTGATAAGGTGGGAAATGTCGAGAGTGAGAATAAGGAAAGACAGAAAATGGAAAAGGTAAAAGTAAAAGTCATGGTAAGGAGAGCACAAAGTTATGGATAAGAGGGAAAATCATGGTTAAGCATAGTAATCAATGTTGCTCTTTTAACCGAATGGGCGAGGAGTGACCATAAATTTGGAGCTACGCAAATTAAACTTTACACTAGCATGCAAAAATATGAGTAGGTTGTTTAATCAACTATCAACACGGGTAAATTGTTGGTCTTTTCAAGTGAAAACTTTTTCTTTTAAAATGGTTAAGTCAGTGGGTCTTGTTGGTGGGAGAGAGACTTGAGTCAATTGTGAATTTGCAAAAGAAACATGAAACAGCAAGAAATTAAAAGCGACTTAGATTACAGTTGTTCAAATTGATCATCAAATTGTCTCAAAATTACTTTTCTTTTGCTCAAATTTTAATTTTGATAATGTTACCAATTCACTTAAATTAGCTTTCAACTTGAAACTTAATGAGTAGCTATTAAAAATTATAACTAGTTTAACTTGTAGTGATTGAGTTTTGTTTTGAGTGAGTTTTAAAATGTTGACCAAACTTGAATTTCTTGATGATAATTTAACAATTTAACTCTTGTATTTACCTGTCCATTTGTTTCTTGGCCATCATTACGTGGATCAGCTATTCTATTTGAATTTACCAATTCATTTGATGATAATGGACTGGAAGTTGATAGTAAAGAAGCTGGATCAAGTGAACTATCTGCAGTCTGTAATAGATTGTATGATGAGGGTTGAAGTATTGGTGATAATGGTTTACTTGAATTGCTTGGTGAATTGGTTCCAACAGATGAGTTAAGTAGTTGTTGAAGAGCTTGATTTTGTTGTAGTAGCTGTTGTTGAATTTGAAGATTTTGTTGTACAGCTGAAGCAAGGAAAGCTCGTTGAATCATTTGTTGATGAACTAATTGTTGTTGAATTATTTGAGATGTATCAACCATTGGAACTGTCATACCAGCAATATTGGTAAAAGGCATATTAGTGTTAATAGTTGGCGGACCTTGATTGGTAGCTCTCAACGCAGCTCCAGGACTGAATGAGGAGAAGCCAGATGAGAATGATGTTGATCCAACATCTTGACCATTATTGGTTCCAAAGCTAATTGTTGTTTCCATGTTTGGCTCATTCATGCCACCTCCTTTAATAGTAACTACGAGATCTTCAGCATTAGATAAACTTTCCAAATCATCAGATAAGCCAACAATTTCCAATGGTAATTGTTGATTACCATCAAAAAGACTACCTTGGCCCTCAACTGGAAGTGAGATGAAATCAAATGGATGATGAGTGTAAGTGTATGAATCACAAATTGATGAGACAACTTCTGAGGATTGATCAGGATCATAGTTTTCAGAGAAAGAAGGTTCAATTGTATTGTTTGAGGTACCAAAAGTGACCGTTGAACAAGGTTCAACAATGGCAACGATTTCTTCCTCCTTTTCTGGTACAGTTTTAGATTCACTTTGATATCCTCCACCTTTGAGTGAATCAGCAAGATGTTTGGCATCTGAAAGATTGGCAAGGTCACTAATATCGATGTCAAGATCTTGAAGTCCACAATCAATTTCAGATGGAACCAAAGTATAAGTTCCATCGTGATCTGAATCATCGTCATGTTCATTATGCACAATATCAACTGATTGGCTAAAGCTATCGCTGAAGATTGAGTCGGCATAGCTTTCTGCCAATTCACAGGTTAAATTATTTTCAGTGAAAAAATCACTTGGAGCATTTGATGAGTACTCTGAGCCTCCTTTGATGGAGGCTGCCAATGAGCGAGCATCACTTAAATCATCTAGATTTGCGTCTAAAACAGGATTAAACAAATCATCCAAGTATTGATCTAAATCACTTGTATGAGATGGTATTTTAATATTTTTAACGTGAGAAGCTAAAGATGGTGCTTCCGAGGTGTCAGACATTGCGGAACTACGAACACCAGTGAATCCATATTCACCTTCACGAGTAGTTGATCGATCAATATAAGCTTTAGTTGACTGACCATAAGGTAAATATCGAGACGAAGAACCAGTCGATTTGTTTCCAGAGTATTTAACATATCGAGAATCAGAAGCTCGCCTGCGTATTTCAGCATCTATTGCACTATCACCTAAGCCATGGTGAGAACCTGTATAATCAGCTGAAGAAATGGATGATGCTGATGAATGACTGCTTGATTGGTGAATTCCTTGTTTGGTTCCTTTAATAATTTCAACTGGCTCCTTGGAGTTGCGTCCATAAACGCCACTATTAATGGCACCAATATCTTCAGGATTCATTTCGATTAAACTTGTCTGACTGGAAGTTTTTGTTGGATCACTGGGAGTTTCAAGTTGCTCTGAGCCACCATTTAATGATGAAGTTTTCTGAAGAACATCTCTATTCTGAGCAAAATAGCGATCATTCAAGGCTGATGTAGCCAAACCCAATTCTTGTAGTGACATGCTACGTTTACTTAATGATGGTCTAGAAGCAAAAGTATCAGAAGGACTGGAATCTTTGACTCCTCGTAAATCTTTCTCATAACCACTAGATTCACCACTAGCTAATCCATAGCGTTTATTGAGTTTACTTGTTTCAGATAATTTCAAATTGCTAATGGTTTCCTCTTTACCACTTTTGTGTAGGTAACGACGATTAAGTTTACTGTTTTTGGAAAGACTTAAGTTGACTTGATCTAATGACATTAATGAACAGCTATTCCTAGCAGTTCCAACATATCTCAATTCAGGACCTCTCAAGGCATCCTCAACATCTTCATATTTATCACCATCATCTGTATTATGAACCAAATGTTCCCGTGAAACTGAACGAGCTCTCATATGACGGTTACTTGAAGATGCTCGGTCATGATATTTGTGTTCAAGGCCACTACTTCTTCGTCTATCAGCTGATTCTTTCATGTGTTTCTCTCGTTCTTGGTGGGATGATAAATGTAATGTCTCATCAAAATCAGCATCATATTCGTATTTGTTGATTCTTTCAGGATTGTGTGGGCTGAACAAAAAAAAAACAAAATAAGGACAAGAATGAATGAAAACCGAGAATTAGGAATATGAGTCAACAAGACAAGGACAGTTGTGGTGTTTTATGTAACTGATTGACTGATTGGTGATAATGGTGAAAAGATGTTACCTGTTAACTAGATTAGCTTTCCTGTTTTTATTGTTACGATCAGGAGAGACTAAGAAGAAACTTTTACAAACAGGGAATGAAGGCATCACTTCCATTTCCGAAATTAAGTCAAGAACAAAATCTTTTCCATTCAATTCATAGATATCTCCTTCGTCATCTAATTCAACTGTCCATCCAGAAGTGTCATCGATACCTTTGGCACGCAACAAATCAGCAGCAAAAGTTTCACCATTTGTCCATGAAGTGATTGGAGCAACTTTAATATCTCCTTTATGGCACAATCAAAGAAATAAAATGAGAAAAAAGATGAATATCAAAAACACAGTTAAAAGTAAAGTTGAGTTTTCACTGAAGAAACTTGAAAAATCCGAGTTTCAGGAACTATGAAAATTTTCTTTCAAAATAAAATTCAACAAACCATCGGGAAGTTTTCCTTCTAAACACATGTTAGCCTTTTTAACCATTGACTTCCATTCCAACTGACATGGTGGGTAAGTGCGAACATTTTGTGGCTCAATTCGTTCACTTTGAAGTAACTTTGTTTGACAAATATGCTTATATCCATTATACGCATAATCAGAAGCATACCTACAAGAAATAAATAAATGATGAAAATGAGATGATGAAGATATGAAGATAAGAAGATGAAAAATGAAGAATCACAAATACGACAATCAAAACTCAATGGACGTTCAACTGTAACTATACACAATAAATCCAATGGGTCACATAAAGTTGCACAAGATTAACAATAACTGATAATCCATTTGATTGTGATTTGTGTTGATCATTTTTTTTTCTGGTGATTGACCACTCACTTTAAAAGATATTTATACAATAATGAACTTGGATTGAAACAGCTTAAACAGTTGGCCATAAGAAGCCAGCCTCTTTCAAAGTTGGCTTCATTATCATTTTTCCAGGTTTGATTACATAATTGGCACAAAATTTCATCTCTCATGTTTACATTGCTTAAACCTTTTTGAATAATGTAATCAGCTAACAGCTTCTCCTTATGACCATTCAAGTTGTTATCATTCATGAAACGAAGTATCTGAAAATGAAACAAGAACAAATAATTGATTAGTTCAATTGGTTGAAGATTCAAAATAAAAAAAAACACGAAAATTTTAAAAATAATCAGGTAACGGTTGTCTGGTTAGTTTGTTACGCTCGAATATTATATGTGTATAAAATGGTAAAACTAAGATAAATCTTGTTAAATGAGTAGGTAGAGTTGTTATTGAGTTTGTGTTGTAAGTTTGCTCAATTATTGATGATTGCTACTGTTGTTGGATTAATACAGGAGTAAATGTCTTTATACCAATTTGAAAATGGACAATGAATCCTGGAATTCCGTTTCATTTGTCTTAGATAGAAATGGTGTTCTAATTGGTTCACGCTTCATTCCCCAGACATGAGCTCTGAAATAGATATTGGTAAATCTGGTAAAAGCATGTTGATCAATGTCCAATGGAAGTGAATAACGGATTGTTCCGGAATCAAATTGCTCCACTGATTTAACAACTTTTTTATCCGATTGTTGACATTTCCAATCTGAAAATAGTAAATTAATAACAAGAGTAAACAATGAAATAATAGACCAAAAAAGTACTTCTTAAGATTAGTTAATTTTGCCAATAAACTAAAAGTCAAACAAATCAAACAAGAAAAAAGATTTAAAATTGAAAAAAAATAATAGCAAGGATGAAAGAGCAAGTAACTTTGTCAATTGACCCAGCTGAAGGCTTACAAGTTCAAGAATAAAAGATGTCAAGAAAAACAATGAATAGGAAGGATTAATTATATTTGAATTAATATGATTGAAATATAATCATTGGTGGTTACGCTGAATTGAACACTTCTCAAGTTGAAAATGTATTGCTAATCGCTGTTAGATGTAAATTGTAAATGTGAGCAATGGTGTTAATGATGAGTTTGACTAATAGTTGATTGACCATTAAATGCGAGTATTGAGATATATTAGCAATAATACCATCTAATTTTGAAATTAGGAAAGCTAATTCAGCAGGTATTTCCAAATGATTAACTCCAGCAACTGCTCGAGAGATTCTTTCGTGTTCCTCTTTAACATATTTTTCCTTGGCTTTTTCACTGGCAATTCTGTCAGCTTCCTTCTTCTTTTCCATGATAGATTTTAACTGTAAGAGAAAGAAAATAAAATTGAGAAAATAAATAGAAATGTTTTAACACTTAAATCTTTTATCATCATTATTATTAGCATCATTATTATGTTTGATAACTACTATCAAGCATCTAAGGATTCACAGGATTATTGTGATGAAAGGAAAGGAGGAAAGTTCAGATTAAATATAAATATAAAGAGTAAATCGTAAGAAAACGTTGCTAACAAGTAAAAATACATGAAAAAAACAAAACTAAGAAGTAGGGTAAGATAAATATGATTGTAAGGTCATCATCCGATCATCCCCAAGAATTGAAAGAGAGAGAGAGATGATGGTGAAGGATGATGCATATGAAAATGATTACAGATTGACAGATATTAACCACATGAATGTATATATTTGTGTATATACACATTGGGTTGAAAAATAATAATGGATGTGATAATAATAATGATGTGAGATTTGACCGGAATAAGTTGAAATGAAATGAATTTGTTAAGTTGGCCTTTTTGCTGTTTTTCGCTGACCATTAAGGTATGATTGATTGATTGATGACATACCTTGGCGTATTCACGTTTTTGACATTTCATTCGCCAATTAGCTTGAGCACGAACAACTCCTCGTCTGATCGTATTGTAACGATGTTTACATTTATATCCTCTGTAAGTTGATTGAATCTTAATGGCACTTGATCTAGCTTTACGGTATCTTTTACGAGCAATGTAAGCTCGAATGTAACGTTGAATGGTAATAACAGATGATCGTAATAAGTTGATTCGCTCCTTTTCCAAGTTTACTTCAAGGCTTTCTTTCATGAATACCTGGAGAAAATAAAACAAGAGTTTTATTAGACATCAATAGACATTAGTAACATTATCAACATTACCTTAGTTGAAGCAAGAACATATTGATCTTTACTGAATGGTAGGTTATCCAAAATGATTTTACATATTTCTTTGGTTGAGTGATTTGTTGGAAGATTGTATTTGGTGATTAAACATCGATACCTGGAGGAGGATTAAAAGGTGAAAAAGGTTAGACCAATGGGTTACAAGTGATGATAATAAAGGGAATTAAAAACGTGGGAACAATTAATGGCTAATAGTGTATCAAAAATGTACATAACGTTTGCGAAAAAAAGGGAAAATCTGATTTTGTTTATGTTTGGTATCAATTAACGCGGTGAAATTGAGAGATGACGAGAGAGCGAAAGAGCGAAAGAGAAGAGTGTGAGAGACAGAGAAATAGAAAGAAGATGAGAAGGAGAAAGAGATGATAAGATTGTTAACAGGCTTAAGAAATTAAATGAGTGAAGAAAAAAGGAGAACGTTCATTAGCTAATGGCAATGATTGATAGAAACAGAAAATCAGAAATTATTATTAACAGCATCGCTATCATCATCATCATTTTTAATCAACAAGCAGAGCAATAGTTTGAGAGCAATATAAATGACCTACGGCTATGAATGACCGTTTCATGAATTTTATCTTCTTCTTCTTCTTCATCATCATCGTCTTAAATGATGATTTTGTATTTTATCGCCTTTAACTAAATACAGTCTTTTAAACTTTACAACTTCAATTTAACCTCAACGAGACATCTTGTGATGCTGAAAAGATGCCTTCAATTCACTTTTCAGTTTACCTTTCTCTATGTACGACATGATATATCAGCTTATATCATGTAATCATTTTAATCATGTTAATAATGTTAATAACAATAAAAATATAACAATCACTATGTAACTCAAAAATAATGTTATTTTTTCAGCTTTTATTTTCCTAGATAATATTGTTGACTATCAATTGCCCTTTTAGTTTGTTTAAGAATAATTTACCTTCATCATTTTAACATTTTATACCAGAATTAATTGTCTAATTATTATGATACTTTGGTTTTATCAAATGATAACAAATGAAATAATAAAAGGTTGATCAATAAGTTGATTGTGAGCATTCAATTTAAGAAAGGCCGGTTATCTGGTCTAACGGGTTTTGGGTTAACTTGCAATTGATAAAAATGTTTGGCTGCTATTTTGGTTTTTTAACCAGATTGGGTTGATTGGATTAAACAGTAAAGACATAAACATTGATTAGTTATGATCAAATTGTAATTAGACAGTTAACTCAATCAATACTTGATTTCATATTCACTTGTTTGCTATTTAAATAATTCTTGTTTATAATGATTGACACTTGTAAACAGTGTTAAGGTTAAATGTTTTGTTATTAGGTTTGTTGAGATCAATTGTAATGGTTAATCAAGTCGATTACAATTGAATTGTTTCTAATAGTGATGTTATTTATTGTTGAGTTTTTTTACTCAACTCAAAATATTGACCAAATCAACTAACCAGAACCAAATATTATATTTTAAAGTTAACCTTTCATTGTTTGCACAATCAAGACTTAAATATTATTAGATGGTTAAGGTTGTAATTTAGCTGATTGTTACTATTAAATAAATATTTTACCATCATAATGGCCGTAATATTGACTTTTGACTCAACAATTAAGCCTTCAGCAATGAAAATGAAAGAGAAAGAAATAAAATAATCAACAAAATGGCGTTGATAATGTTACCATTAACCTTACTCGGAGTTAATAGTTGATGACATTAAAATTGAAAGCATAATTGTCAATACTGTAAAAAAAGGGGAAAAAGGTAACTGAATCAACAACCTTTAATCAACCTGGACATGATTTCCTTCCCAATAGATACGAGATTAACAAATGATCAAATGGTTAATCTTTTTAGCTGTAAATTTCAAGTTGGGATGGGAAACGAATGCAAATCAAGAGAATCAACAAGAAAAAAAAGGATTAACCTGAAAACATGAATAAAGTATGAACATTGAAATGACAAAGCAAAGGTAAGAAAAAAACAAATAACTTGAAAGACTCAATTTAAATAATATAAATAATGGATTATTCAGGAATTAGGTTTGAATGGACTGAATGCAATTGATTGTTAATTGGATGTAATAATATGAAACATGTAATTGTAAATTTTGACAAAAAAATATCAATTTATATTTAGTCGTTATCAAGAAGGTCGGCAAAAAATATCTTGATGCAAAAATGATGAGAATGATGATGAAGAGGGAGAGTGATATTTGTTATTTTTTCATCATTATACCGGTTTTTCAGTTTACTCTGAACTCAGGAATTTTGCTGACTCGATGAGGTGAGAATTCCGGTTCTTCTTAATACAGACCCTAAACTCAAACGGAAGATCAGGTAAGAGTTAGTTCCTGGTGGTTCTCGGTTCCTGTTTCATACACTTATACGTAGATGAAAATAAAGAGATGATAGCTATTTAACTCCATAATCATCAACAATAATTGAATTAAATCAGAAGAAAGCAATCCTTTGACTAACATGGTCAGCTGTTAATTGAAATTTAATTTCAAAGTTAATATCAAAATAAAATTTCACTTTGTGGGAAAAGACTGTTTTTTGTGTTTGCTTTGAATACAACCAACAATAAATATTACAAATAGAGACAATATTAATCTTGTCAGTATGAGACTATCATGAACTGAATTAGGTTTATACGAGTGTGAATATGTGTAATGTCATTTAAGGTAATTACTCTGAAAAAAAAGTAGATGTTGACATTATTCTCAGGAATAAGCTCATTGATAATGATAATAATAGGATGCATTTAGCAAGTCAACACACTGTCAGCTTGAAAGGTTTAAATATACTTGAATATTTGTCCCTTTCAAATTGACCACTCAAAGTTGGTATTGTAATGGACAAGTGATGAGAATGACAAGAGATGATGATAATGAAAGACAAGAAATTGATGACGATGGTGAAAGATGAGAAACATCCTTTTTTTGTGTATTACTTACAGGGCAACAAGATTTGTGAGATAAAGGTAAATGTTAAGAATTCAAGAGTTGTACAGTATTTAGAGGTTTCATTGAGGTGAGACAATATTTGTGAACGCAAGAAATGCTCATCTTTGAAATACTATTTTTTTTGTTCTCATTCTGAAGAAAATTTTTCTATTTTCTCTTTTATTTTTTTCTCTTTTTTTCTCTTTCATCATCGTCATTTCACGCCTTACTAAACGCTGTCTTGATCATAAGCATATATTGATTGTTAAATCAGTGAGGTGTGCGAAAGAAAGGGTGAAAGTGAAAGAATGAGGAAATGAATACGAGTTACTATGGACAGGTAGACAAAGAAATTAAATCAAGAGGAACATGAAGAAAGAAAGGGAAAGGTTATGGAGGAGAGAGGTCAAAGGGCTTTGGATTTATTTGGAGTCGATGATTGGATTTAAATTTTACCTGGAAACAAAGTTGGCAAATTTGATTCGCACAGGGAAACCCAATTTACGTATTTTAATTGTTACCAACATTCCCGAGTAACGAAGCTGCTCCAAGACAACTGGAATGTCAAACTTCATGGTGGCCTTTTCATTGTTTGGTTTAATGCACCGAACAAACCATGGATTACATTTGGACATTGAGTCAACCAGTGAGTTGAGGGAATCTTGGAATCGAGCTGACACTGTTGGTGCTCTTGGTTTCATTGTAACAAACCTTCCGTCTGAGCGATTGTAGGTTTTAACAGATTCATTGGAGTTGCGAAGTTCTTGGAACATCTTGGAAATCATTGACATCTTACTGTTGATCATTAATTCAATAACATCATGTCTCAATGTGTCTCGATTTTTATCTAGGAAACCTTCCACATTGTACCAAACTTGATCGGCAAAATGTTTAATTCCAAATTCCATTGAGGATAATCTGGGTCGACTGTACAAATCATTGAGAGCATGATTGTAATGGCATTTTTCAAGGAACGAGTTATCGGATGCTTTAGGAAAATTGGATTCATCATCCAGTAGAGGAAGAATTCCGATTGGTTTTTTTGAAATCAAATTGATGACGGATTGATTGTCAGGATAACTTAATGGAATCCAATCGATCTTTTCTTTCGCATACTCTTGTTGCTCCAATTTGAAGACATATTTGGTGAAATATGATTGTAACGTTTCATTAGCATAGTTGATGCAAAGTTGTTCAAAAGAGTTTTCTTTGAAATTTTCAAACCCAAAGATGTCAAGTAAGGCTAGGGTTCGTCTTTTGTATCCCTTGTATACCATTGAATTAATCCGTTGAACTAACCATGAAAATAAACAAGAGTAGAGTGCTTTAGCCATGGCATCACGAGCATCCAAGGCTTGGTCAATATTGAGTGGAGTCATCATTCGCTCATTTCGTGCTTCAGTTGTTCGAACGGTAAGAGCTCGTAAAATACCTTCCATGGGTAGCTGAAGAAGATGAGATGTCCAACGAACTTCTGAATCACTTCCAATTTCAACACCCTCTTGACCATGTTTAAGTTGTTTTCGGTGGAAATAAATGTTACCCAAGTGTAAAACAGAGGCCAAAATACGAAATATTGTATCTTGCTCTTCGTTTGTGAATCCAAGGACTTGCATAGCAGCTAAAAGGAAGCGAAAATCTTGTCCATCATTTTTACCTTCTATCTCAGAGGAAGATCCTTGATTAAGGTAAAAGTATTTGTCACTTGTTTGTAGACCATATTTTTCCTTTTCTTGGTCAGTTAATCCAGACAAAAGTTCATAGAAAACATGATAATTTCGTTCATCTGAAGCTTGTGTAACAATTCGTGATTTTTCAAGCAAATATTCAGTTGATTTGGCTCCAGTGATGAGACCATCTTTAAAGTATATTTCGGAGTATTTACCAAAACGACTTGAATTGTTGTTTTTGACAGTTTTAGCATTACCAAATGATTCGAGTAATGGATTGGCTTCAAGAATTTGTTCTGTCACAATATTACTTGCTGATTTATTGACAGCGGCTAAATATTGCATTATTAATTTTGAGGTTTCTGTTTTACCTGCTCCACTTTCACCACTGAAATATCAATTAAATATGAACAAGAGATTAATTTTTACTGAAAGGGTCAATGTATAGGGACATGAAATTTGGAAATGCAATAATACTTACCAAATAACGATGACTTGATCCTCTTTATCTTTAATCATTTTGGAATAAGCTGAACCAGCAATTGCAAATAAATGTCTAGTAATAGGTAAAGAAGAAAAAGTAAAACAAACAAATATTTTACCAGATTAATCGAGTTTAAAAGTTGGTTTAGTTCTAATTATCTAGTTATATGATTAAAATCAATAAAGAGAAAAAATGTTATTCAATAATCAATACATACGGTGGAAGGGTTCCAAGTATTTTTCCTTCATACTTTTTAACCAAATCAAGTCCATAAATATCAAACATTTTATAAGGATTAACAGCGATTAAAATACTACCAACATAGGTCTATCGTTCCATGTTTATATGCACAATATCAAAATTTGACAATAGCGACATGTTAAAGAAGAAAACAATAGAAAATTGTTTAGTTGACCAATAGGAATCAATGACCGTCATAACGTCAAGTCGGCAAAGAAATTTTTGAAATAAATTAAACTTACATAAATCAATTGTTTTTGATACCTAATTTTGAGATTCCATAGTAATGCTGATTCGTTCAGATCTACTAGATCAACCATATCTTCAACCCCATTTTCACCTAGGTTATGATTTCGTTGAATTTCCTCAAGATTATCATCATCCACAGTGTAAACTTGGGGTTCCCCCAACAGAGTGGAGATGTCAAAAGGTATGGTTTCCATTGTTGTGAAAAGATGCACAAACACAGGTTCTGATCACCAAAAAAGGGATCAGAATAAATCACAGATCCAGCAATAAGAGTTAAAAGCACAGTATAACCAGCCGAAAGTGAGGTAACAATTATTGACAAATTAGAGGACACACATATTTAGTTAGACTGAGATGATATCAATGAAGAAGTTGAGTGAAACCATCCAAAAATAAGATCCTCTCTCAAATTGAGACGTTGCAACAAAAAAATTGCAGTGAAAATGAGAGCCGTCTACTAGTCAGACCAGTACAGTCAGTCCTTCTCATAACTGGAAACTCTCATAACTTGACGGGGGTCAGCCTTTTATAAATTAACTTTTTTCCCCATCAGAATTTTCTCAGATCTCTTTCATTCTCTCTCTCTTTTCCTCTTTTCATTAGCAAATCGGGTGGATAAAAACTGATACAGGATTGGACTCAATTCCGACTAGTTGCTACACTTATTAATTAAGAAATAGTTGAGTTACATTACATATGCTTAGCCTTTTCTTATCAAGAGATGGCGGCTTCAACTTGAATCTTATTTACCTTTAATAAAAGGTTACGCTAGAGTCGCCATCTAATGAATTTACCAAGATTATTTAATGAGAAATTATTTTACGTGAAAAAACACTAAATTTACCAATTAATTGCTTGCCTTAATAAAGTGCGTAAATATTAATTCAACTATGATCCATTATTTGATTATGTAAGTTGTCATGTTGCCTTCAATGTGGGGCATTACTTTCATGTTGACTTATTATTCAAGAGCACAACTTGAAGTAAAAAATGAATCCTTTTTTTAACATTTAAACCTTATTATTAATTAAACATTCAAGAACCTGACTTTGACTCTCTTTTATTGAATTTATAACCACTCACAATATTGTTAGTTCAACTCCTTTAAATGGTTGTAAATTCAAGTGGTTTTTGTAAGATATTGATAATATATATTTGGATAATTTTTGCTTCCATCAATAATTTGTCCTCAAAAATTGTCTAAAATTAGCACTATTAAACAATCACGCCAGTGTTTCGTTAAATTTTATTGAAAAAGGTTAATTGGTAACCATGAAAGTTTGACCATTTCAATCCCATACAATAAGTCATTCAGAAGCATTGAAATTTTTTAAAGAAATGAACATTTTTCCATGTAGCAAAATGTATTGTTTTTAGACCAACAATTGAGATGATTTCAGTTGAAAAGCTAGGGTCACATCGATATCCATTTCAACTGATAGGTTAACAGCTTATAAATAAAGCTAAATATTTACTAGGCTTCAATTGATGAAATGAGCGAAAATTCAATGATCTTATCCAATGGCAAGACTTGATTTTTTAAAAGCGGCAACCAGATCAGATTTCAATTGAGTTTTCCTGTAAAAACAGTGATATATTATCCCTTATCTCTGTCTTCTCAACGGATTCTATTGTCAGACGTTTTTGGTTCTGTTTATGTAACTTGTCTCTTGTAAGAAAGTCGCCGCTTTTTGTAAGACAACTTAAAAAAATCCCCAAGTCTTTTCATTGTCTAGCTTTTTCTTTGTGAAAATTGAGTGTTTATTTAGATGCAATTGAATCAAGTCTAACAATATGCTTGCCAACATGAAATGATTGCAGGAAAAATTGGAAACTTTAAAAATGTTGTGCTTTAAATTTGGCGGTGAAAAACTGTAACTATAAACGGATGGGAATAACCACGGTTACTATAGTTAATTGAATAAAGTTGCCCAAAGAGTAAAGGAAGAAGAGAGAGCAATTCAATACTAACTCTGAACCAAAATTTTTTTTTGGTGTCGAGATAGTATTGAATTGCTCTCTCTTCTTCCTTTACTCTTTGGGCAACTTTATTAAATTAACTATAGTAACCGTGGTTATTCCCATCCGTTTATAGTTACAGTTTTTCACCGCCAAATTTAAAGCACAACATTTTTAAAGTTTCCAATTTTTCCTGCAATCATTTCATGTTGGCAAGCATATTGTTAGACTTGATTCAATTGCATCTAAATAAACACTCAATTTTCACAAAGAAAAAGCTAG